TTAATTATTCATATTTTAAAACATAAATACTAGATAAATGCTTATATTTTAATATTAAAAAATAAAATATACTACATTTAAGTCATATAAATAAGACAATTAAAATTAAAATTTGTGTCAAATAATCATCTTGATTGATTTTGCATTAAGGATAGAGCTATGAAATCTCTAAGTAAAATCATGTCACAATCCTCCATTGTACTAACAAAATTACTTTGAGAAATTCCTTGATCTATGCTCTCTTCTCCAGGCACTTCAGGTATATAATTTGGGTTCTGATCACACTTATCAAATTCTTTATCCCTGATTGCATGCTTCCTAAGATAATTATGAAGTGTAATTGTTGCAGCTACTATATTCTTCTGTGTTGTAAGTGAATAACTTCGCATGCCGAACAATATTTCAAACCTATTTTTCCAACACCCAATAGATCGTTCAATAACATTTCTAAGACAAGCATGAGCATGGTTGAATACTTCTTGATAACCAATTGATTGGCTTCCACGTCTAAAATTAAGAATGTGATACCTTTCTCCTTTATAAGGTGCCAAATATTCATTTATATTAGGATAACTAGCATCAATAAGATAATATTTACCTAAAATATAAGAAAGAAGTCATTGATAATAAATACGAAAAATTTTCTTAAAAATTCATTAAGAATTGTGCTTAAAAACTATAACACAAAATAAATAGAAAATTATTACCATAAGGAGGATGAGAAAACACATCCTTTTGATTTTCCAATGTATGGGTGAAAACACGTGCATCATGAGTAGGTTCAGGTCACCCTATAACTACAAATGTAAATATCATGTCAAAATTACAAACTACCGTCACATTTTGAGTGGGGATGCCTTTGCAACCTATAAATGGTATTAGGTCTTCTTCGGGGATCATGGCTTTTACATGCGTACCATCAATTGCACCAATACATCCTTTCAAATGAGACCAGAACTTACTATCTTGTCAAATTTTATTGGAAGTTTCGGTAAAATTATAATCAGGTGGTTTCACAATGTCACTTGAAAACCTCACCAAATTTTCTACTTACTGTTTCTCCTGAATGTTTAAAATAATTTTGCACATTTCGATTAGATTGATTATGTGCACATGTCCAAAGAAACATAACAAGTGATTCTTCTGTACATATTTCTCTTGTTGATGTTAAGCCATAATTACTAACTAACAAAGAACATAATCTCGTAAAAACATGTGATTCCATTCTAAATAATTTATAACTTTCACCTAGAGTTACCAATGTCTCTTGCACTCATTGCCAACCTAAAAGTCTTGAAACTCTTCTTTTTTGTTTGTTAAGATATTTTGAAATATATTTTGAAGATATTGAAGCATCCAAGTGAACAAGAGAATAAAAGATATTATCTCTTTTTCGTCTACCTTCCACCTGCTTATCTCTTTGTTCTATAGCTTGTTCCTCCATCTCATCCTCATCACTATTTTCTTCCTCCACCTCACACTCATCACTATTTTCATAATTCCACCTTGGATTTAAATCCATCTACTAAGAAAAAGAAAAACATTAGGATCCACATATGAACACAAAAAACCAATCTAATTATTTTTACAACTAAATTAAAAATGTAAAAAAAATAAGATAACATACCTTTTTATCTTTCTCTTAAGTTGAACAATAAATGAACTCTTGAACTCTTGAACTCTTGGACATACATTGAATTTGGGAAAAATGCATGAGGGGTCTGGTGATTTAAATAGGGTGTTGTGTTTTTATGTATGTTTAGATTTTTTTCCATGTGATTGAGAAATCTTTTCTTAAGATAGACTTTCTTTTTTGATGTGATTAAAATACAACACTTACGCAATGCATGCCTATTGTCCCAATGCATGCACTGAAATCAGCTCTTGGGCAATGCATGCCTACTATCCTCAACTATTGAGATTTTGCATCACAAGTGTCCACATTGCTACTTTTGATATAACAGGTAAAAAGGTTTACTAGCCCCTAAAATTCTTTGATTGTAATGATTTAACCCAAAACTTATTTTTATATAAAATCTACACTTTTAATTTTAAAACTTATGCAAATTGCCCCTTCCCTTTTAAATAATGTGGACACCATTAATTTTTAAATTGTATAAATCATATTATTTTAACTTTTTATTAACTTTTACAAATTAACAAAAAAAAAAACTTAATATTTCAATATAAGTGATAAACTAAACATGGATTCATACGGAGTCCTTATTTGAACTATAAATCACCAATTCAATTTCTAAGCAACAACATTATGGAAAAAACATAAATTCATAACACTAGTCCACATACAACGAAAATACAAATAAAAAAGAAAACAATTTTGTATCTCAAATACAAGCATTACGAATGTCTTAATACTAAAAACTCAAATACAAACATCCTAGTAATGCCTTCTACTACCGAATCTCTCCCTCTCCATCTCAAACCTTATCTTGTCCCTTTCCAACTCTTGCTATAGCCAAAAAAGTTTTGAGTTAACTAAGTTTATACTCCTAAACATATTTTTATATTCTCGTTTCACAAACAAATGAGTAACTAACATAAAAAACTCATTACCATCTTCAACTCCAGGTAAAGTTAACAACATCCCCATATATTCCTCAGTGCTATCAGCATGTGCTTCATAATTCTTCTTTGATGATTCACTCAAAGTAGTTGTGGTATAACTTTCAACTGCATCACAAAGACGATTCAATTGTCTCTGCATGTATGTTGCACCCCCTAATTTCACTTTCTTCCCTTTGCCGGTAAGTGAAGAACCAATTGTGTTTGTCTTCCTTTTTTCACTACTTCCACCAGTTGGTGTTGGCATGACATTCACCTCATCAGAATCACCAGTTCCTTCTTCCAAATCAACACCATCTTCAAACCCCACATTGTGTTGTTCTGGAGGAATAGGCCCAACAGTTGGAGTCCATGCAATTTCACTTGTGACTACTATTCTGTCAAACATTTGATGCAACTCCATTGTGTTTTCTAATCCATAACGCTCAAATTTACCATATTTCTTGTTCTCGAATAATGCATATAACATATTAGAAGTTTAAAGTTAAAATGAACAAAGTCACATGTAAAAAACTAAAAATCATTAACAATAAAAGAATACAACTAACCACTTTCAATTCAGCCCATCGTTGAGGAGTAGCATCAATTATGCCTTTTTCATGATTCCACCCTAATCTTGTTTCTCGCTTTAAGAGTTGATTCCACAAAACCCAATCACTTTTTAATGCATCCACTGATTTCTTAATTGTTTATAAATACAATGCTTGTTTGTTCTTTCATTAATTTTTTTTCCACATTGTCCACCCTAATTTATTAAAAGTACTATTAGGATGATTACCGACATTGACCTCTTTCACACATATCTTGCAAAAAAAATTTGTTGTAAATGCATCCCACACTGCCTTTGACCTTTTTTCAACCATCCTATATATTGAAATAATTTTGGCCTTAAAACAAGACCTACAAACACATAGAAACAAATGTTGAATAACGGAAGTATGGATACACATAATAACACCAAAAATAGAATGCTAAAACTAGGAAGAATTATAAAATAGTCTTTTATAGGTGTAAATTAACCTGAAAATTAAATTTATAAAAATAATTCTATGTTCAACACAAAAAGAAAAGGGTTTTAAATCTAAAGAGGCAATAAAAAATAGAAACACTCTATGTCTCCCTCTCACACTTCTAAGTGTCTGTCCAGACTATCACTATTTAAGAAGTTTTTTCTTGTTAAAAAAACACTACCATTTAAACATAATAAAAGGTTTCTCTTTCACCAGTCATAACCAACAATTTTCTAGGATGATATAAATTGATAGATATGGGATACAATGTCACCTCATTATAATTTTTATACTAGAACTAAAGTTGGTTAGAAGTATTATAATTTCATCTACGTACAAGTTAATATAAAGAAATAAAAGGTTGATTTATTTTTATTTCAACAACTAGCAACAAAACTTCA